AAAGTTTCGTCGGAACGAAGTTACGGAAAGTTAATTAACAAACGGAGACGTAACAATATTATAAAGTAAAATGTAATTGAAACGTAGTGTTACACTGTACTGAATTACATATTATTGTAAGAAATGTGTACAAAACTATACAAAATGTATACAAAACATAAAATATGCACAAAGGACCACATAGTCTTTCAATGCTGCCCTTGTAAATCCAATATTGAGAAAAGTAAAAATTTAAACCCACCCAGTATTTGCAATTTTGTTTTTGAACTGTACACAGTATTTCAATTGAATGAGGCCTAACTAGTGACTTGTATATATATATATATATATAGAATTGCTGCTGTTGACCCGTAACCAATATGTCTATAAATACACTCTAAAATTCTATTAGCTTTACTACCAGCAACAGAGCACCGACTCGATGGCTTGAGTGAATCCAAACACTAGGAAAGATCCTTTTCGTCAGTCAAGCTATTGAATGGATTCTCATCTACATTAAACATGTGATCTAACTTATGATAACCCAAATACATTTACCTTGCAGTTATTGTAATTAAAGATAATTTGCCAAATATTAGTCCAAGTTACCAACTGATCCACGTCATTACGTAGTACCTCAACATCCTCAATACAATTAGAACTATCAAACAGTTTAACGTTTTCAGCGAACTTGACTAATTACATTCCCATCTGGTTATCAATATCATTAGTGTTAATAAGAAAAACAAATGCCCAAGCACTGATACCTGAGCCATTCCTCCACAGATGTAACCATGATTGAAATGTTGAGGGGGGGGGGGGGAAGACATGGTTTTTTACGAAGTATTGTGTGCTGGAAATGTTATTTTGTTATCATACGACATTATGTGAACTAATATTCTCAATAAAACAAGTTCTAATATCATACGTTAAAATATTTTAAGATTGTGAAAAAACAAAAAAATATGTTCTTCATGTTGTTAGAATTCTGACAAGAAGGAGAAAAAAACAGAACAATTCAATCCAGATAGAATAGCCCCCCAGTAGCACAGCGGTATGTCTGTGGACTTACAATGCTATAATCCAGGTTTCGATACCCGTGGTGGGCAGAGTCCAGATAGTCCATTGTGTAGCTTTTTGCTTAATTACAAACAAACAAACAATCCAGATAGAAGAACACTGAATTCTATCAAACAGGATCAGACTACATTAAATTCTTTTGCTGGTATTCTACACCTTTGCAGTAAAGACAGAATTTCCCAAGTACCTAAAATAATGTTACATATTAACTTTATTAAATACTTCCAAAAAATAAATAAATGTGGGGAAAGGGGCATTATACAATCAAAAATTTACTCGTAGTTTTTTCTTCTGTTTTATTAAATTATACATAACAAAAACATGAATCACATTGCAAGATTAAAAATAAAACGTAGATCACTATATGAGCCACTTCATTTTCAAGTTGGAACATTGTTGGAGAACTAGTAAATACGTAGTAACTGGAGATACTTCCCTGCCGTGGATAGAGCAGATAGTCCAATGTGGCTTTGCCCTAAAAACTAACAAAAAAAAAAACAATTGAAACTTAAAGCCTGCGACCTAGTTCTTATTTTGCCGTTTTGAAAATCAGGCTGTTAATGTAAAGTGTTATCTTAAACTAAAATGAATAACAACACACAAATAGTGAAGTTTTAAAATCATTTTCGGGATGAAAAAGCTCCAACTACAGCGTGTAAACACTTGTTAATTGAGTCTCGTGCCAAGAGTGCTGTAAGTGATTAACATTTTTTTCTAAAAAAGAGCTTCTAAAAACATAGTTCATAGCAAAGTTCCCTTAAATTGAGTGCACACACATCCTTGCTGCTCTACCGATGTAAGCATGGAATGTGATGTGCACAATGGTGTGTGGCTGAGTGAGCTCAAGTCACTGCTCTTATGCCCCAAAAGTGCCCTTTTTCCCAGTTATAAACATTTTAAACAACTACCAAAAGATACACCTGATTTCATATTATCATTTCTGCGAGTTATTAGACAGAAAAAAACCTCAGCTTTAATATAAATGAAGGACAAGGACTTGTAGGTCTTTACAGTAACAACAACTGATATGCTATTAAGTGTCACTACTCAAGCAGTCACTGTTTAATTTTAGATTTTATAAGTGTTTATAAGACCAGTTGAATTTGAATAAATCTGTGTGATTCATATAGTTTTTTAACCACATGTGTACCAGAAACAATCCATAGTTTCTCCTTAACACTTCATCCCCACCCTAGTCCCCTAGTAAAATATTGAAGTGATTTTAAATACTTCTTACGTGTAATCTATTTGTGTTTGTTTATCGTTAAGCACAAAGCTACACAATGGGCTATTTGTACTCTGCCCACCGCAGTGATTGAACCCCAAAGTTTAGGGTTATAAATCCTCAAGCTTACTGCTGAGCCATGAAGGGAGGGGGAGTTTTATTTTACAGTAGAATACCGAATTATTTTTAGAATAAAAAGTGTAAAAGTATTGTTACGTCTCCGTTCGTTAATTAACTTTTTCCGTAACTTCGTTCCGACGAAACTTTAGCGACACAAGTCCTTACTTAATAAAACTGGTTTATTCTTTCCGAATATAACTTTACGATACACTTAATTTAAACAATCGCGCTAAAACAAACGCTATAACAACGAACGTGCTCAATAATACTCTCTGACTGCAGATCAATTACTCACTGTCTACACACACACATTATTCT